GAATAGAATAGAATAGAATAGTAACTTTATTGTCACTTTGAATGTACACTAATCGACATATATTAAAATGAAATTTCGTTGCATTCAGCTCTCAAAGGGTCACCATCTCCGATATACACTACATAAATATGACAAAAATAAATAAATACAAAATTATGCATATACCTATATATATTATATGACACAGAGAAACAACAGTCTAGTTTGGGTTGTGTATACATGTGCATGGCGAGAAAAACGAATCTTGCGATTTTACCAGATTTTACCAGGCATAGGGAACAAAGCTATTACAGAATCGGGTAGTCCTGCTATAAATACTTCGAAACCTCCTCCCAGAGGGGAGCAACAGAAACAAAACATAAAGTGGGTGTGCAGGGTCTCTAACAATGCTTTGAGCTCTAAGCACATAGCGCTTAGAAGCAGCATCCTGAATACCAGGATGTTCTCGGCTGTCCTTACCACTCTCTATATAGACTTTCTATCTGCGGCACTGCTGCCACCAAACCAGACAGTGATGCAGTTTGTTAAAATGCTCTCAATCGTGCTTCTGTAAAAAGTGGCCAGGACAGAAGGAGAAAGATGTGCCCTTTTAAGACACTTTGGTGGGTAATTTGATCAGTTCTAATGTTTCTACATAATTTTATCAATTCCTGTATGACTTGGTATTGAAAACATTATTTGAGACCTTTTCTTATGAATGGGATTCCTTTCCTATAGAAGTTAACACTTCTATCGAGAATTTAAAAGGGACTTTCTCTGAAGGATTCCATTATTTTATATTCTTTATCATTTTATATTTTTAAGCTGCCATCAAGCTATTAGGGGCACCTTTTAAAATTCTTGATATTGTTTTGTATTTTAGACTTACGGTAACTTCCATTTAGGGGCATAGTGGACACCATCCAACCAATGTCCACCTTATATCTTCAGTGTAGGTCTTTAAAAATGAATTATTTAAACCACTGGTTCTCAACCTGTGGGTCGGGACCCCATTTGGGGTCGATCAACCATTTCATGGGGGTCGCCAAGCAAGGCTGTCCGCCATTTTTTTTCCCTTTTCCGGCGGGTGCCTTACCTCCCTTGAGCTGGGCCAGCTGGTGGTCGGCCTGCTCCATCTCTGCCGCTTGCCAGCTATGCCTCGGCCGGCGCAGGGGGCGGAACCACGCATGCGTGGTGCTCCCGGGCAGGGAAAGTCCTCGACTTACGACCGGTTGGGTAGACCTCGACTTACGACCGGTTTAGTCCTCGACTTACGACCGGTTGGGGTCGCAGCATTAAAAAGGTTGAGAACCACTGTTAAACTTACCTTTCCCAAATAGATAATTAATAGCTATTACATTCATCACATCTGACATCTGGTTGAATTTCCAAATCATACATATTGCTAAGCCCAGTTTATTGAATAAGCCCCTGAGGATTGGTTTCAGAAAATGCAGTAAAATGTTAAACTATGATTTACAAACCCCAGTATTATATTCATGCAACTTACTAAGCCAAAATAAAACAAACCACATTATCACATGGTGCAGTATACAGAACCCAGGTTTTATTTTCATTTCATTTCATTTATTAAACTTATATGCCGCCCTTCTCCTAACAGGACTCAGGGCGGCTTACAGCATATTAAAACGATACAAACATTATCCCCAATAAAACCAATTAAGAACAAATATTTACCGCTGTGTTAATTAAAATTCTAATTAAAATTGTCCCTATTTAAAATTCTCCCTAGGCCAGACCCGCTTGCTGAAAAAGCCATGTCTTGAGGGCACGGCGAAAAGATAGGAGATCCGGAATCGTCCGGATCTCGGGGGGTAGTTCGTTCCAGAGGGTGGGGGCACCCACAGAGAAGGCCCTCCCCCTGGGGGTCGCCAGCCGACACTGCTNAAGCGCACCCGGAAGGCCACTGGTAACCAGTGCAGCTCGCGCAGCAGCGGTGTTACGTGGGAGCGACGAGTCCCTCCCAACACCGCCCGCGCGGCCGCATTCTGGACCAGTTGAAGCCTCCGGATGCTCCTCACAGGGAGCCCCATGTATAGAGCATTACAGTAGTCCAGGCGGGAGGTGACGAGAGCATGAGTGACTGCGCAGAGCGTCCCGGTCCAGAAAAGGACGCAACTGGTGAATCAGGCGAACCTGATAAAACGCCCCCCTGGTCACGGCCGACAAATGGTCTTCCAGTGTCAGCCGTGGATCCAGGAGGACACCCAAGTTGCGTGCCCTCTCTGAGGGGGCCAAAATTTCGCCCCCTATAGACAGCGATGGGATCAGCTGACTATGCCGAGGCGCCGGCAACCACAGCCACTCGGTCTTATTGCCAGAAAGTGGTTTTTAAACATTTTTTTAAAGTATACAAATAAATTCTACAGTAACTATAAATAAAACAGCTTTAGTGATCAAGCAAAAATATGTTTGTTCATAAGCTGGCTACTTTGACATATTCTATGTAGAGAAAGCAGGATGAAATTAAATAAAAAAGGGACACAGTATTGCTTTATTTATTCACACCCATCTCTATCCCTCTAAAAGTTTTTACTGGATTTCTTGATATATGAGTTACAAGAGTGAACAAAGTACCATATGGGAGTGTTTTTTCCAGAAATTGGTTATTTTTACTTTTCTAATTTTTCCTTTTGGCGTTATTATCAAATCATGGGTCCATTGATATTATAAGTACTTTAATAAGTCTTCATATAGTATACTCTGAAATAACTGATTCTGAAGTATATTCATTTGCAAATATATAGCGCTAAATCTGCTCAGTAATCCCCCACATTTTTTTTTTACAATAATTCTTCTATTCTGATTTTCATCAGAAGGCACACATGGAACCCCTCTCAATCCTAAAAGATACCTGGGTTGAATGTAAGTAATGGGAAAAGTTACTCTCTGAATTTCATGATTACAAAATAATTAAGGTCTCTACTTTTTAATATTTTCAAAACCATGTTATATGGATTCTCATTTATTATGTTGTGATTGAAAATTAGAACTGATTGCTGGAGAACTGTAATTATTGGATTGCCTGCTGGTCTTCTGTAACAATAGTGAGGTTATTGTTCTTTACAGAAGGACAGGAAATCTAATGAATACAGCACTGAAAGTAATTTGAGAAAATTGGTAACATTTCATAAATGACTGGAAATGTAAGATGATAAAGTATTAAAATCTAGAACATATTGCATGCTACATACTACAGATCTAGAAGTCATACTGCATACATATTAGGTGTACAATTTGGGTGACATCAAACTACCTGATTTTTCCACCCATTTTCATAGGTAACTGTTTACCACCAAGTGTTCCAATAAGCCCCATTGTCAATCATGATACTGCTACAAGGACAAAGTAATTTGAAAGCACTACAGGTAGTCCTTGATGTATGATAATAATTGGGACCTGATTTTCATCACTAAGCAATGCAGTGATAAAGGCAACTGCACCCCTGTAGTCCTGGTTGTTATTGTTAACTGTAACCCATGGTTGTTAAGTGAAGCAACTTCTTGCTGGCTTTCTACAACCAAAGTCAGTAGGAAATCCAGCAAGAAATTGCAAGTCCCAGGCCAGCAGGCAAATAAATGGTTGTTTCTGGATGAGGGAGGGAGGGTGTGTGGGAGAGGTGCTGTGCAGGTTGGAGAGGGTGCATGGGGCTATGCCAGCTTGGAAAAGGTGCACAGGGACATGGGGTGCTGCAGGAGTACAGTGAGGGTCAGCTGAGCAGGGATGTATGAGGTGCTATGGGGAAGTTTCATGGAGGTGTGATGTTGGTTGGGAAGAATGTAAGGGTGAGGGTCAGGTAGGGTGCATGAGTCAAGAAGGATGTACAGAGTGTGCCAAAGGTGCAGGGTAGGTGAGGGAGGATGTGTGTGGGGTGCAATATAGGATGGGGTAGGTACGCAAGATGTGCCAGGTGGATTGGGGAGTGTGCCTGGTGGTGAGGGTCAGAATGGATATGGCGTGCAGTGTCAGGAAGGGTGTGCAGGTTGTGATGCAGGTCGGGGAGGGTGCACAGTGGTTCGACAAGGGTTGGGAAGGATGTACGGGAGTGCAACACATCTTGGAATGGGTGTGCAAGAGGTGCCATGCGGTCGAGGAGAGCGCATGGAGGTGCATCGTAGGTCAGGGAGGGTTCATGGAGATGCGCAAGTGGCCCAAGTGGCGCAAGCCCAGAAGGGTGGGGAGGAAGCATGGATGGGGAGACTTATCCCAATGACTTGCAACGTTCCCTGCTGGTTTCCCCATTGACTTTGTCGTGAAATTGGCTGGGAAGGTTGCATATGGCAATCACATGATCATGGGATGCTTGGCAAGCGGTCATTAGCTCAAACGGATTTCTGAGTGTCCAGATTATGATCACATGACCATAGGGGGCGCTGCTATGGTAACTTTGGGGACCAGTCATAAATCCTCTGCTCAGGACTGTCATAACTTTGAATAGTTGTTGAATGAACAATTGTACATCAAGGGCAATCTGTAACTGGCTATGCAGGGATTATGATAGGTGACAATATTTATGCATCCCAAACCCGAAATCTCTTTTGAAACTGCTCACCTTGTGTAAGACTCATTCCCATTCAGAAAGTAGAAAATAGATAATTTTTAGAAAATAAAGTAACATTATAATTGAATAGGTAAGATGTGTAATAAGACTAACAGACTTTTGGTTTAATATGGTGGAAAATAGATAACTTTTAGAAAATAGAATAAGATTATATGCAAATAGATAAGAAGTGTATTAGATTTTGTTATGAAAAGGGAAAAATGTAGAAGTTGAGATAAGGGAAACTTTGGTCACCTAAAGCTTGGAAATTATAAATACCAAATGTTAATTTGAATATTGATGGGAAATTAAAGCCTGGGAAAAAAGCAATAACAGGACATTGATTGTATATAAGGATTGAATGCAAACACAATTAAGATATGCATAAGCTATAAATTAAGGGAAAAAGAGAGGAAATATTTGATGTTGTAACTTGAGATTTGTGCTAAAGATTTATCTATGTTATTGAATTACTGATTATCAAGTCACCACGCTTGTTTAATTGTAAAATTAGAAAACTAATACAATATTGTAAAAAAAAATGAAAGCAGGAACACATGAGGCGCTTTATAATTCAAACAGCAAAACATCAGAATCTTAAAGATTCTTAGAGGGCAAATGCTTATTAAGGCAATATACAATTGTGGCATAAAGTTAATTCCTATTAATATCATTTATAGTTAAACACTCACCAGCAATTAAACCATAAATCCAAAAAGCAGGGTAAACTGGATTTGCTGCATTGATTTCAAACTTGTGTAAGCATGTTTCTTCATCAGCGAGAGAATAAAAAGACAAACTTTTGGTTGGGAAGTCAAGGTAAACTCCAACCCGCAAAGGTCTGTCTTTGTCAATTTTGGTTTCTTGACTGTTGTGCCATGCGGAGATACTTTCAGCATTGCATTCTATGCACCAGGATAATTCATTTCTCCCTAGTCGGTCGTTTCTGCCAATATCCTCACTGGCAACACCAATGGCCCATGTAGAAGATTCCTCGGTGTTTATTTCCCAGTAATGGCAGCCTTCAGAGAAAGCTGGAGAGCCCAGCACCTGACTGCTGCGGAATCTCTTAGAGGAGCGTTGATATTCTTTGCGATTACGAGACACTCTCACTTTCCTTTTATTACCCGCGAGCTCAAGATTGCAACCAAGTCTTTCATCGTCGAATGTAATGACGGACGTCCCTAAATGAAATAAAATTAAAAACATCTAGGAGCCTTAAATCAGGGAGATATGTTCACAGTGCAAAACCCATTCAATTTATTGACCAAATTGGGCCGAGTACACAAATAAAATAATAACACAACATGCAATAAGCAAGTTTATAGGAGATTAAGACTGCCTGATCGTATGGTGAAGCAAGATTGTTTTGTGAATAGCCTGGTATATATTCAATTATTCCTGTCGGCGCATTTGCATTTTTTTTTCTTGAGAAAATAGCAATAGCACTTAGACTTATATAATGCTTCACAGTGCTTTACAGCCCCTCTCTAAGCGGTTTAGAGTCAGCATATTGCTCTCAACAATCTGGGTCCTCATTTTACCGACCTTGGAAGGCTGAGTCAACCTTAAACTGGTCAGGATTGAACTCCTGGCAGTGAGCAATCAGTCAGCCTGCAATATTCCATTCTAACCACTGTGCCACCATGGCTTTTATGGGCATTAGAAGACATGGACTTAACAAACATTCTAGTCTTTCCTAACCTGGGGTCTTTCAAATGTGTGGACTACAGCTTCCCAAATTCCCCAGGTTCCATGGCCACTGTGTAGGGGGCCTTGGGGATGACCCTGAAGGAACTATCCAGAAGTCATTAAAACTCCAGAAACATGTTGCAAGTCTGCTTGTGTTTTCCCATTCCTCCCTCATATCCCCAGGGAGTCAGGAGGAGCCAGTCTGAGTCTCTTTCTCATACTCCTCACTTCCCTAGGATTGATATCAGCCATATAGGGAAGACCAGATCAGGAAACTGACTCCATAGGAAGACTACAGGTAGTCCTCGACTTGCAACAGTTCGTTTAGTGACCAAGTTAGAATGGCACTGAGAAAAATGATTTATGACCATTTTTCACACCTACAACCATTGCAGCATCCCCATGGTCACGTGATCAAAATTCAGACAATTGGCAACTGACTCATGACACTTTCAGTGTCCCACGGTCATGAGATCACCTTTTGCGACCTTCTGACAGTGATTCATTTAACAACTGTAGCAAGAAAGGTTGTAAAATGGAGAAAAATTCACTTAACTGTCTTACCTAGCAACAGAAATTTTGGACTAAATTGTGGTCGTAAGCCGAGGACTACCTGTATTCCTTCCTGACTCGTTGGGCTCAAAACTTGCTTCTGAACCTGCTGTCCTAGTGACTTCTGAATAGATTTACTACGGTCCTCTCTATGGCTCCTCACACCACTGAGTCGAATCTTTTGCTGGGAGCACTGCCTAGGTCAGGGGTAGGCAACCTTGGCTCTTTTATGACTCGTAGACTTCAACTCCCAGAATTCCTGAACCAGAATGGCTAAGCATGGAAACATCTCCTTTTCCCCTCAGCATAGCTGGCTCAGGAATTCTGGGAGTTGAAGTCCACGAGTCATAAAAAAGCCAAGGTTGCCTATCCCTGGCCTAGGTCTTCTTTGGTAATACATTAAGGTTTACGTCTTCCCTTTTCTTCTGATGATGCGGAGGAGAGATACTCTTTTCGATTACAATTATGATCGTTAAAGGGTTTAGCAGACAAAACATCCATTTGTGTCAGTGTATTAAAAAAGACAGAGCATTAGTCAGAATCCGGTAGTTTTGTTTTCAGTAAAATAAATAAATCCCATACGTACAAGGAGAATCAATAAGGAATAAAACACTAGATGCATAGCTGGGGTAATGGAATTGTTGGTTGTCCGTGGCATTTTCATTTGTTTTTATAATTTACAAGAATATGTTAAGTCATCTATCAAAAGCAAAGTGTCTGCTCTATGGACCAGTGTTTCTCAACCTTAGCAACTTTAAGATATGTGAAGTTCAACTCATGCCAATTGCAGAATTCTGGGAATTGAAGTCCACATATCTTAAAAGTTGCTAAGGATAAGAAATGCCACCATGGTGTACGGAATAACAGAACAATGGATGCCATTGATGTGCGTCAGTTTCAGCTTATTTCAGGAAAAATTGGAATTTTGTGGGAGGAGGGGAGGAAAGCCAATGCACTTGTCCATATCTATATGTTGACAGTTCTGGGAATGATTCTATATTAGAAATATAGATATTTTGCAGTCTCAAAATATCCATCTGATATTTCTCCAGCAGAGAAAAAAAATTGTTATAATAGTCCACACAATTTTGGAAAACCTACCAATGCCATGTGCTGCATAACCAAATAAATTATTGCTCAAGACCTTTGAAAGCTAACCTCATTTTGTTTCATTAATACTAGTACATTTATTTAATAAATACTATATAGTCATGCTTCTAAAAACAGCAAAATAAAATGCTGCGCTCTTAAATGGAATGTAAATCATCTGTTTCAGGAAAAAAAATAATTATAAATACCAACAACAGCTCTTTTTCAAATTATTTTTGAAAGGAAAAGTTTGAATGCTTGAATGTCTATATAGCTTAATAATCACTATTTTGTCGGCAGCAATGTACATACTTACACTGAGAAAATCTACTTGAAATCGTTGGCAATTCTCTGCCCCTAGTAGATGGCAGTGGTGATAAAGAGCTGCTTGCTTCCTGAACTGAATCTTGGGACAGGGCTGATCAAGGAAAAAATAAATAAATAATTATACAGAGAGAGTTTTCTTGTTAAATTTTAATTAAATTGGTTTCAAGAAAGAGATGCTGAACTGATAACAGGGACATTCTGCCAGCTAATTAGCTATTCCAGAGATGTATATGTTTTAGCCTCCAGTCCCCCGATCATCTTTGTTGTTCTTCTCTGCACTTTTTCTAGAGTCTCAACGTCTTTTTTACAGCGTGGTGTGGTGACCAAAACTGGATGCAGTATTCCAAGGGTGGCCTTACCAAGGCGTTGTAAAGTGGTATTAACACTTCATGTGGTCTTGATTCTACCCCTGTTAATGCAGCCTAGGACTACGTTAGCTTTTTTGGCAGCTGGAGCACACTGCTGGCTCATATTTAAGTGACTGTCCACTAGGACTCCGAGATCCCTCTCACAGTTACTGTTGAGCAAGGTACCACCTACACTGGTACCTTGAATCGGTATAAGAATGGTGCTCCCAGGCCAGCCATGAATGCTCATAATATTTCTCCCTCTCATATAAAATGTAACAATGTAACAATCAGAAGATGACCAGACAAGTAAGTGATTAAGAATACTCTATTATTTTTACTCTAAATGATACTTAATGCGTATATTGATTCCTGTATATTAATCCCATGTTATTCCTGTAATCGTGATTTGAGCTAATTAATGTGCAAAACTACACAAATCTGTACTTTAATTTGTAACAATTTGTACTCTTAAAAAAAGAACTAGCAAGTGTTTTTGTTTTGCTCAGACCAGGAATGTCAGAACGTCAGAACAACGTGGATAACCAGTGGAATGTGGGAAATGATTCCCGAGTGGAATAATGAGTATGCTCTCCCCAAAATCAATTAAAATTAATAAACTACCTACAGGAATCACAAGAAAGGAATGTTTCTTCTGCTCCATCAGCTGCAGTTTCATTACTGTTGCTGGTTCCTGGAGAAGGCTCTACGTCTACGGCAAAAAAACCCAAAACCAAGCAGTTAAATCACAGAGACTAGAAATTGGTCTGGCACAACACAAGTAGCTGCTTATGTTTCAGCCTCAATCTCAGCTTAAGGAGATCTCCCTGATCCATTTTAGGAGGTTCCCTTGTCAGTTTGATAAGCATTTCAGAGAAAGCTCATTTTCACAGGAAATAGGACCACCCATATGTTTTCAATTCAAATTGAATGGAGATGCTTATCACTTTCCACAGGTTGCATAAGGAATGAGGGGATTCAATAGCATCCAGAGCCATTTATTTTATCTAAAAAAGAGTTTTGGAGATATAGCTACTATTGCTTAAGGAGACACATCTCAAATTGGCAGCTGCTAATTCCTATTGCAAGGATAAGACATTGAAAAACATTCAGCAAAAAAGAATGCATCATGCATTGGAATTCCCCAAACTGAGTACAGTATATAGGCCAGCACCTCTGCATGCTGAGTATAAAGTCTACAGCTGGCAATCGGATCGAATCTGTGCTGACTTGTCACTGACCAATTGAAATTTAAATACATTTTTTCCTATAGGAAATGCACATGGACATATTTCTTTGAAATATTACAAGAAGAATTTTTTTAAAATACTTGTATATCCTAATGGAAGGTACTATTCATTGCTGAGCAACAAACTCCTTTTATTTATAAAACTTCTAGTACCTACAATAATCATCGTAAAACTCTATCAAAGTAATTCCATGTCCATATTGCCAAAGAGTTCAAAACATGCTTGCCAAACAACAGAAAAAGAACACACTTTAGGGATGCTTACGAGTGAGGTCTGTTAAATAGCCATGGATATAAAGGATCAGAGGAAGGAACAAAATAAGATTCAATAACCAAAAAGCAAAAACAGTGGCATGCTCAAAAACTTACACAGAATGAAGGTATGAGGACTCCTGCCTTGAGCAGAGAGTTGAATTAGACCTCCAAAGGTCCCTTCCAGCCCTATGATTTTATTTCCATCATGCCTTACTTATTCACTACCCAGAAGAATTTGGTAGCTACAGAACATCAGTCATGGTAAGATCTGATCCAACCAAGCCATCTTTTCCGTGTTTAGCATCAGATTAGAATAACAATGCCAGATCATACTGGTTTTTATTTCCATAGCAATATTCAAAGCTTTGTAATAGGTCAGCACATGTTTACTCTTATTGTAAGAGGGCAATGAAAATTCTACCCACTCTGATATGGCTGCCCTGGGAAATTCAAAATTGATGCTTCTAGCTGTCTCCTTAATTCTTCAACAGCACTGGCAATATTGCTGATCTTCTGAATGGGATCGCCAATATAAGCTTCTTGTCCTGATGAGGTTTTCTAACAATTAAAAATAAATCCAGAATTAAGCAAGGCATCGGCAACATTTCAGTGTATTTCTATCAATTACATAATTAGAATCTGAGTAATTGAACATATTGTGTTTCTCCGCAAATGCGGAATCTGCTGGTTTGGTTTTTGGTTTTTTGGACTGAGCGTTGATCCATTGGTTGTGACAGGAACTGACAAACTGACTAGTCACCAGAATCCAACATTGTGGGCTGAGAGAGAGTGACTGGCCCACAGCCAACTTTTATGCCTAAGGTAAGGGCTAGAATTTACAGTCTCCTGGTTTCTAGCCTAATGCTTTAACCACCAGACTACCAAAGCACATTAGCACCCAGATCCTACTCTTGTTTGTTCAAAAATAGTTTTAAATATGTTTACAGTTTTGTAAGTGAGCAGCCATATAAATAGGATACATTAAGAAATAAAATGTATATTTATGGCGCCGTTAATGCAATATTTACCTTCATTGTTTCTTCAGATTTATTCTGCAAATCCAAAATGCCGTGAATTTTTCCATTGACCTGCTTATCGGTAGAGTCTCTTATTTGTTGAGCCGTTTTCCATTCTTCCTCAATAATCCTTAGTACCATTTCCTCTTGATCACAAATGCACTTCTTCATAAAACTGAAGGCTTTTGAAATGGAGCTTCTGGTTTTAAACATATAATCCTAAAATCAGGAAAGAGACTGTTGCTGATGAAAGACCGCTATACAGAAATCTGAACGTTGTCAACATTTAAATTTTTGCCTTTGCAATTGGCACCAGAAAGTTTCAACAGTTTGAGAGCTAAACCAGCTCCTCTCACAATCCAGCATCCTCTTTACTACTTAAAAATAAATACAGTACTTTTTCGATCAAAGTCAAGTCTGACTCACATTCGACTCCTGCTGACTTCACAATCACATCTGTGTAGTTTCTGGGCACACCCTTCTTCCAGAAATGGTTTCAATTCCCAGTCTAGACAAGCCTGGAACGTTGTGACAGTTTCCTACCCATGTACTAACCAGGCCCAGCCCCTGCTGAGTTTTCTGAGATCAGCTAAGAGCAAGTAGCTTGGGCCATATCCGGAGGATCTAGTTCATGGCTCGGCGGAAGATCAGGCGGCAGCTTGGGAAACGACCGCTGCCGCAGCACTAGACCGAGTCGTGCCTTTGCGGCCTCTGACCCGGCATAGATCTCGACTGGCTCCTTGGTTTACCGAGGAGCTGAGAGAGATGAAACGCCGGAAAAGACGCCTAGAGAGCAGCTG